TTTCTGGGTTAGTGGACTCTCTTCTACAACCAGAGCTACAGATTTGAAGAATCTTTTCAGCAAATATGGGAAGGTAAGTGCCAGAGCTTTTCTGGAGAAGATACTTTGAAACCAGCGTTGGGTGGCCTTTACATGCAGGTCCTCTCTCCTCAGTGAGTTCTTTGAGAGATACCAGGAGCTTATACTTGCTGATGGTTGGGGAGGGTCTACCCCTCCATGGGTAGAGGTGAAAGTGATGTGGAAGCTTCCAAAGCCTACATCACTGCTGTATTTCCCCCCTTCTCTCCAAGCTTGTCCCCTTCCCTGTAATGACTTGTGGATCCGTTTCTGTGTCCTCAGGAGGTCGCACTCAGGTGGGCCGCCAGGGTTGGCCAGCGGGGGTGCTGGTCAGCATGTCTGGGAGGCACCAGTGTTCTTAGAACAGCGTTCATGATGCTGGAACTCAGAACTCAGAACAGGGACCCTGGAGTCTGATGATGGGGGTCCTGACCATGGGTGTGTTGCGTCCATTGACTGAACCTCACCTCAGCAGCTGGGGGCTCTCAAAGTTGCTGCCTCAGTTCACCACTGGGGGCAGTTGTAGCTGCCTCTTGTCTACAGCACCTGCCTTTCCTGAGCCCATGAAGGTGGGGCTGATGGTACCAGCCCCCTACCTGCAATGCCCAGCGCAGCCGCCTGGCCCTCCTCCCTGTGCTTTCTCACTCCTCTCCTCCCTGATGCTTCCCAGACCTGCCTCCAAAACAACCTCATGCATCCAGGGCTCCTCGTCTCTCAGAGTCAGTTTCGGGGACAGCCAAAGGAAGGAGTCCAGTCCTTTGTGTTACACAGTGAGGGTTCAACACATTGCAATACAGAAAACCAAGTGTTTTCCCTGATACTGGCTTCGAAGAACTTAAAAGAGGATAAAACAGACTGGGCGCGTTGGCTCACACCTGTAATTCCAGCACTTTGGGAGGCCGGGGTGGGTGGATCACAAGGTCAGGAGTTCGAGACCAGCCTGGCCAGTATGCTGAAACCCATCCCTACTAAAAATACAAAAATTAGCCGGGTGTGGTGGCGCATGCCTGTAATCCCAGCTACTCAGGATGCTGAGGCAGGATAATAGCTTGAACCCTGGAGGTGGAAGTTGCAGTGACCCAAGATAGCGCCCCTGCATTCTAGCCTGGGACAGAGCAAGACTCCATCTCAAAAAAAAAAAAGATAAAACTAAATATGTCATTATTACGGACATAACTAAGGGCTTCCTGGGCCTCAGTGATACAAGGTGTGTGGCTGGCAACACCTGCGCCAAGTCTCCTCTGCTCGACCCCCTTTCCTGACTCCATGGCGGCCCCAGCGGGTGGGTGTGCTCGGTGAGGAAGTGTCGCCCTGGAGACTGCAGTGTCTTGAGCGCAGCAGGCCTAATGTGGGTTAAGTCGAGGACCAGGCCCCTCTGAGAATGTCCTCTGGGACTAGGATTCCATGTGGCATGATGAGCGTGATTACCAGCCATGGCCACTGGCTCCTGCGGGGCTTTTCATAAGCCATGGTGTCTTCTGCCGTCAAAGGGCGACCCTAACTGCCGCCCGCTGTGGTTGAGAGAACCAAGTACACTGGAAAGGACGCGTCTACAGGATCTGAAACACGTCACGGAGTTTTGTTACAGTCAGTGGTAGGGCGGATCTGAGTTCCAGAGCATGGCTCACACACAGACCTTTACTTGGATCAGTCTGTGCCGAAGTCTTTTTTTTTTTTTTTTGCCCACATTACATTGCTTCATAATTTACCACCTATGTAGCATGACTGTATATTTGGAATCATTTCTTCACAAGTTTTAGACCATATTAAAGGAACACTGGCAGAACCCTGTTTCATTTCCCTTTCGTCTCTTCCCCTACACTGCCCTCCTGGTCCCCTTGAGGAACTAGACAAGCGATTAGAACTGGCCAGAGGTCCTTGGAGGAACAACAGCAAAACAGAAGCATTAGTGGCATTGTCGTCCCCAGTCTAACACTTGTCGGACCCCCGATGAGCAGACTTCCCTGTGGGCTGTTCATATCCCCATGCCCCGCTCAGTGGGCCTCGTGTCTGAGTCGTATTTGCCTGCTTTCCTTCGAGGTGGTGGGCGCCAAGGTTGTGACAAATGCCCGGAGTCCTGGAGCTCGCTGTTACGGTTTTGTCACGATGTCCACAGCAGAAGAGGCCACGAAATGCATTAACCACCTGCACAAGACGGAGCTCCACGGAAAGATGATCTCCGTGGAGAAAGTGAGTGGCCGTTTTCTTCCCAGGATATAGCCCACATTAGGAAATGAGGTAATACTTGCACTTGATTGTCGTTTTCAGGCCAAAAATGAACCTGTGGGAAAGAAAACCTCTGACAAAAGAGACAGTGACGGGAAAAAGGAGAAGTCGAGCAACAGTGACAGGTACCTCTCCTCCCTGGCTACAATAAAGGGGCAGGGTGTTTTACACAGAATCTCACTCTGTCGCCCAGACTGGTGTGCAGTGGCAAGATCTCTGCTCATTGAACCTCCGCCTCCCTGGCTCAACCGATTCTCGTGCCTCAACCTCCTGATTTGATGGGATTATAGCCACGCCCATCTAATTTTTGCAGTTTTACTAGAGATGGGGTTTCGCCATGTTGGCCAGGCTGGTCTGGAACTCCTGGTCTCATGTGATCCGCCCGCCTTATCCCCCCAAAGTGCTGGGAATACAGACATGAGCCACCACGCCCAGCTAACACGTCTGTTTTTTATAGATCTGCAAACCTTAAGAGGGACGATAAATGTGACAGAAAAGATGATACTAAGAAGGGTGAAGACGGAAGTGGAGAAAAGAGTAAGGACCAAGATGATCAGAAACCTGGCCCCTCAGAGCGCTCTCGAGCCACAAAGTCAGGTGGGCAGCTGATGAGCCCAGGAGATTCTGTCTTGTTTCTGTGCCTGGTGGGGTTTGTTATTCTGCTGTCATTAGCTGGCAACTCAAACTGGATTCATGTTGGGGAGGATTTTTCTCATCTGGGTGTTCATGGTCTTCCACTTACACTTTCCCTGTCTTTTCCGTAGGAAGTCGAGGGACCGAGCGGACTGTAGTAATGGATAAATCCAAAGGGGTGCCTGTGATTAGTGTAAAAACATCTGGGTCCAAAGAGAGAGTGAGTATTAATTTTCTAACTAGGGTATTTTGTTCTTTTCAGTTTGTATTTGTGTGCGTCTTAGGGAATTACTAAGCTTCGTCTGAAAAAAGCTTTTATCTGCTGTTTCAAAAATGTAGAGATCTCAAACTATTTTTTTTGAGACAGAGTCTTGCTCTGTTGCCCAGACTAGAGTGCAGTGGTGCGATCTTGACTCACTCCAACCTCCACCTCCTGGGCTCAAGCAATTCTCCTGCCTCAGCCTCCCACGTACCTGAGATTACAAGCCCATGCCATTGTCTTTTTAGTAGAAACAAAGTTTCGACATGTTGGCCAGGCTGGCCTCAAACTCCTCACCTCAGGTGATCCGTCCACCTTGGCCTCCCAAAGTGCTGGGATTACAGGCATGAGCCACTGCGCCTGGCCTCAAATTATTTTAAGAAATGCAGAAAGTTTTCGTTTATCCTTACTTTTGCTCTGATAACTGTTACTTATTTTCTAAAACTAACTTTAAAATTCACGTATGGGAGCAGTTGGCTTTTCCCTGTGTGGCAGTCCATGTTCCCTGTCTACCCTGAAAGTGTCAGCACCTCCCCATGATGCATTCCTACACCCAGCAGTGTGGGGCATGCCATGGTGACCTGGCCCGTCTCCAGCCTCCTTGACCCCTCCTGTACTCTTGTCTTCTTGCTGGGCTGCATTGTGAGCTGGGCACGGTGGCTCATGCCTGTAATCCCAGCAGTTTGGTAGGCTGAGCTGGGAGGATCACTTGAGCCTAGGAGTTGGAGACCAGTTTGGGCAACCTAGTGAGACCCCATCTTCTCAAGAAATTTAAAAATTAGGCAGGCTTGATGGTATGCATCTGTGGTCCCAGCTACTCAGAAGGCTGAGGTGGGCGAATGCCACTTAAACCTGGGAGGTCAAGGCCGCGTTCATTCCACTGCATCCTAACTTGGGAGAGTGAGACCCCATCTCAAAAAAAAACACCTATTATTTGCATGGTCTGTGCACACTAAGCCACCCTTACTGGTTCACTGTCAACTGGGGACACTCTGAGAGCCAACTTCCCAGTTGCCAGCCAAGGACCAGTCTTGCCAGCAGCCCCTCCTTAAGGAAGGGGAGGGACCTTGGACCTGCCCGGTCAACCCTCAGCTGCATGGAGGAGGAACCATTTCAGTTGGTGAATGGAGCGGATTACTTGGGAGCTTTCAGTCTCTGTGTGCCAGTATTATACTATGTCATAGCCTTTTATCCTTGTTCTATAAAACACCTTTGGAAAATGGTGAAAGGAAAGTGTGGGTTCTGGGGATAAAATGAGTAGGTCTCTTAAAAATGTAGTCGGCACAAATAAGGTACTTGTCAAGTGTACCAGAAGTGCTTCATTTGGGAACTCATTATGTGTTTAATTATGAAGGAAAAAGCAAAATTAAGGAATTTATTTTTGAAGCAGAAGACATAAAAAAGTGGTGTTTTGATCTTATTTGAAGTTTTTGGGGGCAATACTCATTTCCATTTTTTCTGTATTAAATGTACTGTTAGATCACATTTTAGCATTAAATGTTGATGAAATTCTGTGTCTTTCAATTATGATAAGCAAAATGTAAGGCTTCTTTGGATTAAACAGCTCATTATCTGCTTTTCACTGAAAGTTATTCATCACATAGGACCTCCACATCTGATGGTTAGGCATGGATGTATATACCTGATTCTTCCTGTTCTCCTGTCACACCTACGTGAACTTTTTCATTTTTTTATTTTATTATTTATTTTTTATGTATTATTTATTTATTTTTTTTCAAGACGGTCTCGCTCTGTGGCCCAGACTGGAGTATGGTGGCACGATCTCGGCTCACTGCAACCTCCACCCCCCGGGTTTTGTTTTTTGTTTTTTGTTTTTTTTTCCAGATTCATAATTTATTGTACAAATTGAATTATCACATGATGAGTTAGCATTAGCTTCTCCAGGCATGGGAACTTAACAGATGAGGTTAAGAACCGTAGACAGTTTAAAATCCATTTATGTTGCTTTCACAGCTGGAGTTTTTTTGAACCTTAACTTGAAATATAAGACAAAGCAAAGCTTCCATATGTGGCCAGTACATAATTCATTCTCTGTGAGAGTGTAAGGGTTGAAATATTTTTTAATACCAGTGAACTGGTATTGCGCATCACTTTCTGGACCTGCCATGATTTCAATCTGCCAAAGCCACAAATTCCACAGCTGGTGTCCTTCAACAATCTTCCCAGGGGTTTTTAAGTGATTCTCCTGTCTCATCCTCCTGAGTAGCTGGGACTACAGGCACCCGCCACCACACCCGGCTAGTTTTTGTATTTTTAGTAGAGACGGGATTTCACCACGTTGACCAGGTTGGTCTCAAACTCCTGACTTCAAGTGAGCCACTGCGCCGGCAATTTTTTTTTTTAGTCCAAGTCTTGCTCTGTCACCCAGACTGGAGTGTAGCGGCGCATCCTTGGTTCACCGCAACCTCTGCCTCCCAGGTTCAAGGGATCCTTCCACCTCAGCCTCCAAAGCAGCTAGGATTACAAGCATGCGCCACCATGCCCAGCTAATTTTTATTTTTTATTTTATTTTTATGTATTTATTTATTTATTTTTTGAAACAGAGTCTTGCTCAGTCGCCCAGGCTGGAGTGCAGTGGTGCGATCTTGGCTCACTCCTAGCTCTGCCTCCCGGGTTCACACCATTCTCCTGCCTCAGCCGTCCGAGTAGCTAGGACTACAGGCGCCCGCCACTACGCCCGGCTAATTTTTTGGTATTTTTATTTATTAGAGATGGGGTTTCACCATGTTAGCCAGGATGGTCTCAATCTCTGTACCTCGTGATCCGCCCATCTCAGTCTCCCAAAGTGCTGGGATTATAGGAATGAGCCACTGTGCCCGGCAATTTTTATATTTTTAGTAGAGTCAAGATTTCACCATGTTAGCCAGGCTGGTCTCAAATTCCCAATCTCAAATGATCCACTTGCCTTGAACTTTGAAAGTGCTGGAATTACAGGCATGAGCCACTGTGCCCGGCCTCTGCTTTAACTTTTTTTTTTTAATGTTCTTTGGTGAACTAGGCTTCCAAAAGTCAGGATCGCAAATCAGCCAGCAGAGAGAAGCGGTCCGTTGTGTCCTTTGATAAGGTCAAGGAGCCTCGGAAGTCGAGAGACTCAGAGTCCCATAGGTGAGTCGGGATCCAGAAACGGTTTGGTGTTTTTCCTAGAATGTGGTCATGACTGTGTCCTGAAGGATGTTTGCAGAGTTCCCTGGGGTGGGATAGAGCTGTCAACCTTTTTGCTCCTTCAGCTTTCAGTTCATAGACTTGTTATGTTTTAACTTTCATCCTACAGCTCTTTTCTTTTTTTTTTTTTTTTTTTTTTTTTTGGAGACAGAGTCTTGCTGTGTCGCCCAGGCTAGAGTACAGTGGCGTGACCTCAGCTCACTGCAACCTCCACCTCCAAGCAGTTCTGCCTCAGCCTCCCGAGTAGCTGGGACTACAGGCATGCGCCAGCACGCCTGGCTGATTTTTGTATTTTTAGTAGAGACAGGGTTTTACCATGTTGGCCAGGCTGGTCTGAAACTCCTGACCTCAGGTGATCCACCCGCCTTGACCTCCCAGAGTGCCAGGATTATAGATGTGAGCCACTGTGCCCAGCCTACCTATGGCTCTTTTCAAATACGTCTCTTCCCATAGATTGTAGAGGGTAGCAAAGGCAGGGAGATGGAATGCCTTCCAGCATCAATAGTGTACGTCAACAAAAAATACCAAATTTGCTCCAGAAAATGTGAAAGTGGGAAGACAGCGAGGTAGATCCAGCAAGGGCACTGAGAGGGCTTCCTTTTTTTTGAGATGGAGTCTCTGTGTCACTCAGGGTGGAGTGCAGTGGCATGATCTCAGCTCACTGCAGCCTCCACCTTCCCTGTTTCAAGCAGTTCTCCTGCCTCAGCCTCCCAAGTAGCTGGGACTACAGGCACAAGCCACCACACTCGGCTAATTTTTGTATTTTTAGTAGAGGTGGGGTTTGGCCATGTTGGCCAGGCCGGTTTCGAACTCCTGACCTCAAGTGATCTGCCTGCCTCGGCCTCCCAAAGTGCTGGGATTACAGGCGTGAGCCACTGCTCCAGGCCTGACAGGGCCTCGTTCTTAAATAAATCAAGAAAGAACTAAACAAACGTTATTGGCGAATTACAGCTAAGTTATCTTTTCTATGAAGAAATACTTCGTTAACTTTAGTTTTAAAAGTAAGGGCCCGGCCAGGCGCGGTGGCTCACGCCTGTAATCATAGCACTTTGGGAGGCCGAGACAGGCGGATCACAAGGTCAGGAGATCGAGACCATCCTGGCTAACACGGTGAAACCCCGTCTCTACTAAAAATACAAAAATTAGCCAGGCGCGGTGGTGGGCGCCTGTAGTCCCAGCTACTCGGGAAGCTGAGGTAGGAGAACAGTGTGAACCCAGGAGGCAGAGCTTGCAGTGAGTGGAGATCCCGCCACTGCACTCCAGCCTGGGCAACAGAGTGAGACTCTGTCTCAAAAAAAAAAAAAAAAAAAAGACCCCCAGGCGCAATGTCTCACACCAGTAATCCTAGCCCTTTGGGAGGCCGAGACTGGCAGATCACCTGAGGTCAGGAGTTCGAGACCAGCCTGACCAACATAGTGAAACACCGTCTCTACTAAAAATACAAAATTCGCTGGGCGTGGTAGTGCATGTCTGTAATCTCATATACTTAGGCTGAGAGAGCAGAATCGCATGAACCCAGGAGGTGGAGGTTGCAGTGAGCCAAGATCCCGCCATTGCACTCCAGCCTGGGCAACAAGAGCAAAACTCCATCTCAAATAAAAAATAAGGACCATTAGTTTAAAAGGAGGGGGAGAGGGCACTGCTCTGCCTATAAAGTAATCACCCTTTTATTCCTTTAAAAAAAAAAAAAAAAAAACGAAATCTCACATAGTCCTGTGAATGCAGACATTGGCAGATGGCATTTCTGCTGGGGGAGTAATGAACACGGACAGCCTGGGGGGCACCTGCAGGAGCCTGCAATGCTAAACGCTAGAGTGTTCCAGACCCTTGACCCCTCTCCGTGTCTGCCCTAGAGGAACCTATAAACAAGGAAGTGTTGGGCTTGGGTGTCCTGTCAGGTTGTGAGCATTTGGACACAACTGAAAAGTTCCGGTAAACCGCAGCCGTTTCATAATAGGGGCTCCTCCAGAAAGTGCTGAGATCCACAGAGGCAGGCGTGGGAGGATCCAAGACATGTTGGGTGAACTGAGGAAGTTGCAGTCATTTGGGTCCAGAACACAATGAGGCAAGATTATACATTTCTGCTGGGACAGAAACACAGTTGTCCCAGAGATTATTGGCCTCAGGACCCCTGCGGATACCAAAATTTGCAGAAGATCAAGTTTCTGATATAAAACGGTGTCATAGTTCTGCATATAACCTATGTACATCCTCCTTTACACTTTAAATCACTTCTAGATAACTTCTGATACAGTGAAAATGCTGTCAGTAGTTGGTATACTGCACCAAGGTGCCTTTTATTTTTCTTTTTTTAGTAGCTCCCTGCACACACCCTTTTGTTTTGTTTTGTTTTGTTTTGAGATAGGGTCTCACTCTTTCACCCAGGCTGGAGTTAAGTGGTACAATCATAGTTCACTGCAGCCTCTACCTCCTGGTTTCAAGTGATTGATCCTCCCACCTCTGCCTCCCAAGTAGCTACCACGCCTGGCTAATACTATTTTTTGTGGAGATGGGTCTCACTATATTGCCCAGGCTGTATATCTAATAACTGTGTAGGTAAAGGATCAAAAGAAGAAAATCTGAGCCTGGGCACAGTGGCTCATGCCTGTAATCCCAGCACTTTGGGAGGCAGAGGCGGGTGGATTGTTTTGAGCTCAGGAGTTCGAGAACAGCCTGGGCGACCGTCTCTACCAAAAAAAAAAAAGAGACCGTCTGGCTCCTGTCTTTTGTGTTTTATATGACAAAGACTGGAGGAACACACTAAAATGTCATTTGTGTCCCTGCCAAAAGGTACAACTGGTAATGACCTAACACCTGGGGGGCCTGCCAGCCTCACTTCACAAGGACTCATTTAATCCTGTGGCCTAGGGAGTGAAGGTTCCAGTTCACACTCACTCACTCTGAAGCATATACTCTGATACTCTGTTGCTTTTTTTTTTTTTTTTTGAGAAGGAGTCTTGCTCTGTTGCCAGACTGGAGTGCAGTGACTCACTGCAACCTCTGCCTCATGGGCTCAAGTGATTTTCCTGCCTCAGCCTCTCTAGTAGCTGGGACTACAGGTGCATGCCACCACGCTCAGCTAATTTTTGTATTTTTAGTGGAGACGGAGTTTCACCATGTTGGCCAAGGTGGTCTCGATCTCTTGACCTCATGATGCACCCGCCTCAGCTTCCCAGAGTGCTGGCATTAAGGCGTGAGCCACCACACCCGGCCTGTTGCTTATTTTTGACTGGCTGTTTCCTGAAATCACTTGTCAGGCTCCAGGAAATGTTGGATAAATGAGGCCCAGTTCACGTTGTACCTGATCACACAAACAGAGAGTCTGGGCCTCATTTGGGATTTTCCTGGACTCCTCCCGTGGTCCGGAGAGGCCTTCTCCCCGCTGGAGTGTACGGTTCTGCAGACCACGTAGTGGAGACATAGCCCTGGAGTCTGCACAACCCAGCGTCTTAAAGTCAGCCCTGGAACCTGGCTGGGGGTGTCTAGGTCCCCTTCTGCAGCTCTACTGTTGTGCAGCAGGGTACGTGAGCGCAGTGAACGCGAACAACGGATGCAGGCGCAGTGGGAGCGCGAGGAGCGTGAGCGGCTGGAGATTGCCCGAGAGAGGCTGGCCTTCCAGCGCCAGCGGCTGGAGCGTGAGCGCATGGAGCGAGAGCGGCTGGAGCGCGAGCGCATGCACGTGGAGCACGAGCGCAGGCGTGAGCAGGAGCGCATCCACCGTGAGCGTGAGGAACTGCGGCGCCAGCAGGAACTGCGCTACGAGCAGGAGCGGCGGCCTGCGGTGCGGCGGCCCTACGACCTGGACCGGTAAGCAGATCTGCCCTGCCCTTAACACGTGGCGTTCAGAATCGTGTTAGGGACCTCACAGGTGAGTTAGCTTGACTTCTTTTTTTTTTTTCTTTTTTGAGACGGAGTCTCGCTTTGTCACCCATGCTGGAGTACAGTGGCGCAATCTCGACTCACTGCAAGTTCCGCCACCCGGGTTCACGCCATTCTCCTGCCTTAGCCTCCCCAGTAGCTGGGACTAAAGGCGCCCGCCACCACGCCCGGCTAAGTTTTTTGTATTTTCAGTGAAGACAGGGATTCACTGTGTTAGCCAG